GTTTCTGTGTTTTTTGGTGGGATTTTAAGTGACCGGTTTGGTGATATGACCGGCTCGGTGATAGAGTACGTTACAAGAAACTAAGGGATCTTAATAAGAAGTGTTAAATAACTATCTACAAAGCCCTTAAAGGTAGTAGGGATAGTAAGTAGCGTAATTAAGCCACACAAACAGCTATCTAGAAAGACTGTAAAGGTACTAAGAGAACTATAATAATAGTCTGCGACCTTCTGTATGCAGTATAGGTGATTATTAACAAAATTTACTCTGCTAGTAGTAAGAACACCTTAACCTACATAGGCATTATTAATCCCTTTAATTCCCTTGTTAATGACCTAGCTCTACAACCCTCCTTTACAGCAATCACAGGCTTAGAGCTATAGCTAACAGTATTATAACTGTGCTTATCTTTGCACTTAAGGCATTAAGGTGTTAAGATCTAGCCTAGAAGAGGCTGCTAGATAAAACTATCTAGTTCCTTTAGAAGCATGACCTTAAGGAGACACTAAAGACCTAGAAAGCATTTAAGAAGGCCTCTAGAAAAGAACTTGCCTAACTAATAGCTAACAGAATTAATAATAACCTAAGAATAAAGGAAATCCTTAAGGTTACTGCAGAGATTATTAGAACGTACTTTATTAGTTATAACTATAACTCTGTTAATATTTAGGGTTGTAAGCTAAACTTAATAAACTACAAGCTAAAGGACTAGTACCTCCCTATTGTGTACAAGCTAGACTACTATAAAATGCTTAGGGAGATTAAGATGAACATTATGGCGCAAGTCAAGCTGCAGCACGATAAGGCAGTTTCTAAATAGCAGGACCTTAGTGGTGACAGCTCAGGAAAACTAAAACCTAAGTTACAGTTGGCCGCGCACGTTGATCTAGGAAGCTACTAGAAGGCTAAGATACTAGCTAGCTTCCTAAACTTCATTAACGCCATATACAAATATTAAGACAAAAACCTAGATGCTATACTACTAATTAGCCTACAAACTAGGTAGGGTGATAACCTTAGCAAGAACAATCTTTAGCTTAATAAAATACTTAAGAACCCTACTAAGATACTTAGGTTAATTATCTATAAGGCTATTAACAATATCTGCAAGGGCTTAGCTAAGATAGAGCACGTATTGTATAAGGCAAAGAAGACAGCACAACAGCGCACTACTGCTCCTAATCTAAGAAAAGATTAACCTAATCTACTAAGCGTTACTTACTAGAGTAAGTACTGCATTGCTTCTAACGTGCAATTGTGTAAGGCAATTATTTTTACAGTAAGTCTAAAATATCTCTGCACTCTCTATTCTAGGTAACAGTACTAATATCCTTGTAGAGATTAGTTTAGGAGTTTAGGCAAGATTATATAGCTTAGGTAGGCGAGGGTCTAGACAAGGACGTGCAAGTATTAAAGTGGCGCAAGTTCTTTAATATCTATACAGGCTAAGTTAACAACAGTATCTAGTTTATAGTGGCTAGACTAAAGATAGTCTGCTAGTCTATTAATCTTATTAAGGGTTATGTGTTTAAGGCTCTAGAACCACATAGCATTAATGCTAAGGTAGTGCAGTATAGATATTGTAGTTTTTAAATTAGCTAGGTTGCTAATAAGGTTAAGCTTAACTTCCTGCTTTACTCTAAGTTGTATGTAGAGAAACTAACATAGCAGAGAAACATAGTTAAGAACAAGTTTGCAGCGCAATGCTAAGCTACGCAGCTTAACAGGATCAAGGAAATAGCTATAGCTATAGATAATAAGGATAAGGAAGTATAGTTTGACAGCAGTGCTGCTGTTTAACATAGATAGTCTAATATAGCTTCTAAATTAAGAGACAATAGAACAATTACTATATCCTGCTAGTCCTATACTCTTTGCTATAGTACGCTAACAGTTTTTTAACCTTAGGGTTGCTTGTACTAGATACTTAGGTTAACCCTAGTAGAGATCTTAGGCTTACTATGCACTAGAAGGAGACAACAGCGTGTTAAGGTAAGACAACAGGGCGTGAGTACTAATGTGCTGCGCCTTTGTAGGCATCTTTAAGCAACCTAGGTGTTAGTAGACTTAGTGTGGACTTAGACAAAAACCTTAGAGGGATTAATACTCTATTTAATGAGGCAATTTTTGTTATTACATCTAACTAGCAGCTAATATATAGCAACAGCTTTACTTGCTGCATATAGAGTATCTAATAATGTAACTACATAGCAGCTTGCTAGACTTCTGCTACATAATGCGCTTTACTAATAACACGCAAAGGGATACCTTGTAAATAATTTTATTATTTAGCTAACAAACAGCACACACTAGGCTTCTGTGGCTTAACACTATATAAAGGGATGCCCTGCTAACAATTAATAATAGTGTAAGATTAACTTACTATACTGTGCACACAGTATAGTAAGAGTGTAATTCTTATTACCTAGCTCGCACAGTCCCTCTCAAAGCTGCGTGCACTGTCTCTTACCTTCACCTTTACTTTACTAACATTATTAAGTGTTCTATATAGCAGCCACAAGAGAGCTTATCTACGTGAACCTTCTACCACTAACGCCTGCAGGTCACCTTCTTTCTCTTCGCTCACTCGCTGCGTATGCCTTTAACCCTGCCACAAGACCTATTAAGGCATCCTCTAAGATCGTGAGACGCTGCCACCATGCCGCCCAAGGACAAACCCCTGGCGATCAAGCCAATTACAAGCGCAGAATGGAACATGCACATACAGGAAGACAGCAAAGGCCGTTCCTTAATAGAGTCTATATATGTCTGCTTTAAGCTAGATAAAAAACGTGTAAAGGGTATAGCTGCAGATCTTAACTAAAGAATTAAATTAATAGATAGATTTCCAGCCCTTATACATAGGTGCCGCGGTAAAAAGATTAAGGGCCCTCACAATTAGTTAGACGCAGACAACAAGACACGCCTAGTAGAGCAATAGCTAGCCAAAGACAGCAAGTACGCGCATCTCTTTAGGAGCAAGAACACAGAGGCACCTAAAGCACTTAGGAAAGAGGCAGCTTAGAAGCTAGTTTTTAAAGCAAAGGCTAGGGTCTACAAAACCTTAGTAAAGATAGAGACTAATATAGATATAGAAATCTCTCTAACAAAGCTAAAACAACTACCTAGCAGGGCCTACACACACTCGCTATTTACAACGTAACTATTAAGGCTATCTACAGGACCACGCTATGCCTATCTCTTTAACCTTCTAATGCATTTAACAATAGCAATAGTGTAACTACATGTGCATAACAATTACTAACTACTATAAGACTATATTAGTAACCTACTCTAGTTTAATATTAGACTTGTAGATTCCTAAAGGTAATTAACAATTACAAGGGTACTGTTTTACTACTTGCTCTTAGACATGACCCTCCTAGAGACAGCAACTAGAGGGTTTACTAGCAATAACGTGTCTAGGGCAATACTTATAGAATTTGTGAAGTAAGAAGTCTAACTAGACATTGTCAAGTTATAGAGGGAACACAAGCATGGTATGGAACTCACGTACGCCTAATACAGGCCTCTAGCAGATAACAACAACTTTGCAGTTGTTGTTAATGACTTTATTAACAAGCCACGCCAGCACACAGACCTGTGTATCACCCTT